CAAAATTGATTCAGGAGCGGCGATGGGGACAGCAATATGTCCAGGATTTCGCACAGTCTTCGGTGGAGCACTAGGCGGATTAGTAGGAGAAGTGGGTGCAACTGTGGCCACAGAAAAAATCGTTGACACGATCTCTGATGCTGCAGGATATGAATTAAAAATCATGTTGTGCAAAAAATGTGAACGGCTTTACAGATGCCGTTTTTATGCAGATGGACAACTTCGCTTATGTGACTACTGCCAGACAGAAGAGAGTGAGAAAGAAGAAGAAAAGTAGAAAAAGAGTAGGCTACCTATGAAAAGATTTTTACAGATGTGTCTTCTTTCCCTTTAATTTTTTCCTCCAAAAGATTTACATCATTTGAAACGTCTCAGCATGCAATGCTTGAAGGCTTTTACACGTCATGCTGATTAGTAGTTTACCTGGAAAGTCCTTTATTCATGTTTTAATAAAGCTTGTACGGTTCCTGTGTTTGCGTCTCAAAAATTGATGCAAAATTTTAATGACATTTCGAGAACTCTATCTTTTTTTTTAAATTTTTTACCTATCTCTTTGTAACGACAACACAATCAGTATAAATGTCGAAGTTTGATTCTAAACAGGCCTTGTAATTTTCTGCTTTTTGACTGAATTCATATTCAGCAAAGCATTTCTTAAAAGTTAGTTACTCATTTCCCAACTTTCTACTTCTCTTTTTTGTGAAGAAAATAAAATAGAATTATTTGGCAAAAGTTTGCAGGTTTTCCCTCAATGACTGGCATTCTGTTGCCTATAATACGTCTGGGGTTGTTGATTTTTCAGGTTTTTTTTAAGTTGCTGTGCTAGTGGAAACCATAACTTTAAGTATGACCTACAGAACTTTGCTGCATTCACCAAACTTCTGTGAGTTTTTTTTCCAGGATTAGATATTTGAAATGCAGTTCTGTCGCAGTCAGCGAAATTGTTGTGAAGTGATTCTAAGAGAGGAGATTAACCATGTTGTGAACTTTTAAACAATGTTTCTGAATCGTTTCGAGCTAAATGAGAATTACGGTCAGAGGTGGGAAAATCAAAAGAGTAATGGACAGCTGTTGCTTGCACGTCACAGGCATTACTGAATTCTTAAGAATTTTTCTAAATCCAGCTTGGGGCATCTCCTTTTACTGTAGGGTGCAACAAAGTTGCAGTCTCGCTCCTTCTTAGCAGTTCCAGTATCGAAACAGTGCTGGTCTGCTGTTGACTTACACAACATGCACGATTTCGCATGCAGTGGAGGTTTTTTTTCCGCCTTATTCGCTGCAAAGGAGAGAAGGGTGGGGCGCTTGAGCGAAAGAACCGCATTTTCCCAATTGTTATTCGGTTTGTTCTGAACAAGTGATTCTAAAAGCGTTAAAACGATTAGTCAAAAAATTAAAGTGGGTTTTAATTATAGTTTTGATGAGAAATTTTCAATTTTTTGTTAGTTTTCTGGTTGGAAAAAACTTATCTTTGTTTAAAGTTCAAAATAAAGACCATCTGTTTTTAAAGAGAAGGAAACATTTGAAGGAAATAGGATTCTAGTTTAAACGGAACAGACGAGGAAGTAAAAAAACTTATTTTCTTACAATTCGAAAGAAACAGCGTTGTTCACGGATGAGATTGTAGCATGGCTGCTAGTGATAATGGAAACGGTGATTCTAATGGCAGTTGTAACGGCGACAAGTGAAGAGTTGAAAAATTATCCTGTTAAAATATCATAGAGAATAAGAATTTTAAGTAACCATTTACAGTGCCGTCTTTATTATCCTTCCTTTTTTTACCTGTACTCTTTCGCGAAATATGGTAGAGAATCCAGAAAAGTATACATGCTTTTCAAAATTTCTCAATGCTTGTTGACGTTTTGCCATAGCGGTTATATAGTACACGGCAGCACGGTTCCTATTAATTTTAAAAACCGGATGGAAGGGAGAAAATAAATACAAAGAAGCAGCAGAGGTATTGTTATGTACGAAAAAGTTATTCAGTGGATCTTCCACTCCGATGAATTTATTTGCCTTCTCTCTTTTGTCCTGCACAGCAGTATAAACATTTGCAATTAAATAATCGAGTAGTTGCGTTAAAAAAATAAGTAAAAACGAGAAAAAAGATTGGTCAAAAAATACCTTATTTCAAATAAGTTTCGCGAACTAACTATTAATGAACTCCTATAACATGAAAATTTTTTGTATAATAATTGTCATTTTTTGGTACGCGATTTTACTCGCTGGAGTTTTTCTTGCCTTCATACATCCTCTTTGCCTGGTTTTAAATCTTATGAGCATTTCTAGTAAGAGTATGAGTATTTCTGTGCACTTCTTCTTTACTTTTTAATAACTTAATGTTAAACAGCAAACTTACTTATCAAACTTACTGTTTTATAAGACTATATAGTCTTTCTTATAAAACAGCATTCTCAATATCATATGCTTACCAGTTACTAGCTTTTTATCGTTTCCTCTTCACTTTCGGTTAATCTTCATGCAAGATACTCTATTTGCCTTCATTGGCAACACTAAAAGAATAACCTTACAAGCCGTAAGTCTCCTTCAGCTACTTCAAAAGTTCTGTCATTTTTATGCAAAAACTGACAAATTTTATTTGGGGAGTTGAAAAGTTACAACAGAATTATGAAGGAAACCAGCACAAAGTTCCATTGTTTAATGTCCAAATTTCTTCACTGGTTTTTTCCATACTAAAACAAAACCTTGAAATTTTATTTACTACAGCCTTTCGTGCTTGCTCACACGAT